GTATAAAAAACTTGAAATACCTATATGCATATGAATATTTATATGTATCGGAAACTTGAAATATCTACATACATACAATGAATATCTTTTTATCGTAAACTCAGTTTCAAAAAATCCGGATAATAAATATGCATTATATATATATATATATATATATATATATATATATATATATATATATATATATATATATATAGGCTTAGGTTATTTTGTTTTTACTAACTATTGTGTTCCAGAATGCACAGATTTGGACCACCGGATGAATAAAATCAACAATCATGATCTTAGGGTCTATTATATTACAATAGAGTAGCATGTATCATATAATCACACAAAGTTCAGCAAAAGGGTATTTTGGTCAATTAACCTATTTTAAAAAAGGAAATTTTCGGATTTTAAGGGATCATTAATTCCCTTATTTTTTAAAATCTGAATATTTTAAATTAATTATAATTAAATTTTAATATTATTTTTAATAATAACCGATTTTATTCTGTCAGAATGACAAAAAGTCAACAATAAACAAGTAAATATATTTGCGGTTTTATTCTTGCAGAATATTGTTTCATTCAAGATACTTTTTATATTAAACATGCTTAAAGAATTATACAACATATTATCAAGAATAACATTTTCTAAAGAATACAAATTTTATTCTTTAAGAATCACTATACATTCATGCGTAAAGAAAAAGGCTATAAACAATTATTACTATTATTCTAAAAAAATTATGATTAATAATGGTTTAAGGATTACATTTATTCTTAAAGATTAAAACTAAAAATGGTTAAAAAAGAAAAAAAAAACATCAAAATATAACAAAAACACTAATCCATTCCGAAAGAATATTATTGTTAAGAAACACTTTATACATTTTAGCATAATACATTTTGCAAGAATACACTCTAGTTCTCCATGTTTTTCCTCATTCTCCACATCCATGGCAGTCTCTTCAAAACCTAATTCGACAAAAAAAAAAAAAAAAAAAAAAAAAACATAATCAACTTTCAAATATTAAAAAATTCGGAGCATTCTAAAAGAATAAAAATTATAAATTCTGATAGAATGTAGTAGACATTAAACAATTGTAATTTATGCTAATAACATGCTTTACTAGTTATTCTGCTAGAATATACTATCGTTATTTTAATAACATGCTTTCCTCGTAATTATGCTAGAATGCATTACCAGTTAAACAAATATATTTGTTGTTAACAAAACATTCTTAACGACATTTTGACAAAATGCATTTATATAAATAAATTCTGACAGAATACACACAAGTTTTAACTTATCATTCATCATAAATCACCTGTTTTTCGTTTAGACAAAAAAAAACAATATGAAAATCAAGATTATATACATATTATAACATTTTATTTTTATTTTCTGAAATGTTAGCTTCAAGTCACTGTTCACCATAACTGAAACAGAAAAATAGTATGAATTTACTTAATGCAAAGGATAGTAAGTTGTTGTATCATTACGATTAATAAGTTTTGAAAGGTAAAAAATGTATCATAGTTACTGTAATAAATTTCTACAAGATTATTCCATAACAAGGTGTAAGCAGCATATACATACAAAAGTTAACTAGATTAAGGAAAAAACAAGTAATTCACTAAATTAGTTATAGCAAAAACCTGGTAGAAATTTCAAAATGGTTTTACAGGGGCATGAATAACTTACATGATTTTCTCTTCTTTAACTTTCACAATGAATAGTTCTTTTCAAAATCTGGTATTCAACTCTAAATGGTATTAATACATCTTTAATCTCGTTAATCACATTCCTAGCCAAAATCCATCTTGATCACATACACCCACATGCACCATTTTGCCTTACATAAACCTATTAAAATCTACTAAGAAAACTTGATCGTTTACTAACCAATATACATGTACATATCTCTTCACTTAGAAAAACAAAAAATTAAAAATAGTGATTTTTATGTCATTCCATGTATGATCCTATTGTAAAATCTCAAAAGGCATTTAACCGAACACCTGGTAAGCATTTCAAATAAACACTAATCCTTAAATAAAATAAAAACGCTACAATATTTCTAGCATATTAAAGATTTTTTTGAGAATAGAATACATATTAAGTGTGTTCCATCCATCAAACAAACAAAAATCGTTAAAAACAAAAAAAAACGGTTGTCGAGTTGGTTTGAAGGAGGATTTTTGTTAGTGTAATAAAAACAGCTTAAGAAAAAGAAGAATTTAAGGAGGAGAGAAACAGATTCAAAAAAGAACTGAGCAATCTAGTACTATGTAAAATTACCTTGAATTTGGTCTCTTCTTTGACGAGAAATCAAGGGAGAATCGCAACACGAGATGATGATGACGAGGGATGCAGGAGCGTTTGTCGATGATGAAGATTATGCTCTCGTGCACACACAAACACAAGTGGGGTGAGGGAAAAAGAACGACCGTAGATAAATATGGGAGAAATTAGGGTAAAAGTCAATGTACCATAAATAATTATGCCTAGATTACTATTATACCATTTTATGATTTATTATTGAATTTATTTTGGCTTAATTCTGATTGGTTGTTAGAGGCACACAATACTTATTGAAAACATTTGAACCTATATATATATATATATATATATATATATATATATATATATATATATATATATATATATATATAGGAAAGGAAACTATCTATATATCCAGATATACATTTCGCACTCGAAAAACACTTATCAACTTGAATATAGTTATACTTTAGTAGGAAAGTATGTTATGGTTCAATCATTACAAACTTTTGCACTCACCAAATTTTTAATTGACACTTCTTCAAAATGCATGTATTCTCAGGGATTGCAGTCGTCTTTTGGATTTTAGTATTTCCTTTTGTTGCATACTGTTAAGGCTTGTTTTGTACCTTTCAGTTTCCTATACCCTAGACTAGGGGATATTGTAGTCTACTCTTTTCAATGAATAAAAGTATCTATTTACTTTTGTACTGTTGTATGTTCAATGTATGCTTAATTACTGTGATACATGATGTCGTCTCACTGCCCGACGTTTCCGCCGCCGGCTGGGGGTGTGACAGATCCGTATAGGTAGTGTGACATATATTTTTGAAACACCAAATCTTTTTCCAACATATTATCATAGCCTTCCTAAGCTTAGATTGGAAATAGTAGGAATGATTATATACAAGCGTACGTAACGACTGGAAATAGGGGATGATTAGAACGTCCATTTTACCCATATGAGTAGTTTTTAAGTCTGAACTCCGATTGTGTAGCGCTTTGTATGATTCTCATGGCGTCTCTCAGCTCCTTTCTCTCCAGAAGACCCTAACGAACTTTGGGTTGGACATTTGCAGCGACGAACGTGGTCCGACCTAGTCGATACGATATCCGACGGTGGTTGTAATCTCCGACGATGGATGGGTGTGTGTTTGAGAGAGAGAGAGAGGGAGAGAGATGAAGAAGAGGATAGAAAAGTTTGTTTTCATTTGTGTGATGTTTGGTTATTGATGAGAGAAAGGTGTGCGTAGGTAGGCGTGACTTTTTTGAATAGTTTTAATCAAGGAAATAGTAAAAATAAAATAAAATGGGTATAAAAATCTTTTTATATGGATGAGGGGCCAACCACAATAAAACTTGAAACCACAAGGATGTTTCATAAGACCAAAAAAACTAGGGACTAAAGTTTATACTTTGGAAACCAGATGGATCAATTATGAAGATCTTTTCTTTATTTATTTAAAACTTAATGAATGGTCCTTTGGTTTATGAAACACAATTTGGCCCTCACATGTCTTGCACGTGTTATGACTTAACAGACAAAAATAGACGGCGTTAACTGTAAGTACTATCTATGAAAAGTTTTTTAACTTTTAGGACCATCCTTGAAGACAAAAAAAATAGGGACCAAACTTGACATTTTAGAATACCGCATAGACCATTTATGAAGATTTGTAATTTTAAATACATGATTTAAAATGTCTCCTACTAGAGATTAGTTTGTGCATAGGTAACTAGAGGCATATAAACAAGATTCTAATTGCAAACCATAAGTGGTGTTTCTTTATGTTAGAAAATATTAATGAAATGTGAAAGCTGTGCGCCTGTCATTTTTGTAAAAGTGGTAGTTGTAAAAGTGGTAGACTGGAGACAACTCTTCCATTATATGGTCATTTTACTAAAAATTCTGTTTTATGCCAAAACTTTATTATTTGAAGTTAATTATTTTCTAAAGCAAATGACTTTTCTGTTGTTGATTCCCGATGGATTGTATGTTGGCACATTTCTAGGAGTATTCAACGTTGCATATGAATTATGTTATATATGTATAGAGAAAAGTTCAATAGAGAACTATAATTATTGGTTTTTCAAGGAACCAAATCTTTTTTTCAATTTCTAGAGCTTATTCTTTATCGAAAAAAAAAATCTAAAAATATCTAAATTCATATATTAACATTGTGAATGTGAAAAATATTTTTCGGATTCACCGTGTGAATCCGGATTCACGTTGTGAATTTTCAAAGATTCACATTGTGAATTTGACGTAAAAAAAAATCGAATTTTATGTCATTGGAAAAATGATAAAAGGTTATGAATTTCTGTATTTTTAGTTTTTTTTTTGATAAAAAAATAAGTTCTAAAAGTTAAAAAAAAAGATTGGTTCCTTGGTTCCTTGGTTAATTATGGTTCTCTATTGAACCTCACCCTATATTATGGTTCTCTGTTGAACCTCACCCTATATGTATATGTAATCTACGATCAATACAATTTAATGTCTAACTATGAAGCCCTGATTTTGCATTATAGTAGTTGTAACTCATGCAATAAAAATGATACCATTCCTACACGTGTGTTGGCAGATACATTGTCTATATGTAATTAGATAAATGCAACCGTACTTTATATCTTGTAGCTAGTGTAATTATTGGAAGATTCAAGTAAAGGGTATATCCCAACACGCAGTGGTAGACATTCACATCTTCCGAATCTTTGATGTCTTTTGTAATTTGATGGTTGTCGCAAGGCTATTTTTCACTACTGAAAATGACAACCCTTCACATAATGAGTTTCCTTTTAGTTCTGTTAGAGACAGTAAGTGCTGGAAGGTCACAACAGGAACGTCACATGCAACATCTATATTTTCTACAGACAGTAGTCAATCCCCTTCATAAGGAAAAAAAAATTTAATCATGTCGGTAGCTAGCTTCAAGAAACTACTAAAATTATATGAAAACAACGTTGTTTACATGTTATCACAAACATGTGGTTCGTAATTGCTATAATGAATATATGCGACCCAATTTACTTTGTGATCAATAAAAAAAATAGCTAAAAAATGGTTCTGGTTTTGGATGTAAAGAGAAATAATTAAAAAGGTGTGAAGTTGAATTCAATTTGACCATTGTTTATGAGAAAATAAATTATTTAATGAAGGTAATTAGCTAGCCCATAACACCACGTAGTCTACCTTAGAGAAGAAGAGTGTATCAAGATGGATCCAATGGTGTTACGTGTGCAGTGTCAACCTCTGCACTAAAAATTGTAGGGCATGTATTATTAGAAGGAAACATGAAGGCATTATTATAATAAGTCTATTTCATTATGCATGGGATACTGGGGGCTATCATCAAACCATCTTCTTTTAAAACATTAAGAAATTCCAATATAACGTAGAACTTAATGATTTGATGCACAAAGGAATAGGACTGAATACGAGTTGTCCAATTGCTGCATTTGGATACTTGTACCAATCAGCTTCTTAAGCCTACAGGGAGGTCTACAGCAACAGTTACTCAACTATAACTACTTAATGAAATTCTTTCATCATTCTTTCCTTTAACTATTAATTTCAAAACCCCATCTTTCATTGGCTTTTAGGATCTGCTTCCACTCATCTCAACACTTTTTTTAGAGACCCATTTTGGCTTTCACCATCACCAATCTCTCTTCATATTGGTATCAAAATGAAGGTAAGAGCAAGTACTGTTCTTGTTGCAGTTTTTGTAAATAATCTACAATCAATGGTGTTTTACAAGGTGATATCTTTTGGTTGCAGTTCTTTAATTGGATGCAAAGTAAATTCAATGGTGGGCAAGAGCATAAAAACTCGCATACAGCCACCTCTACTACTCGTATGTAACCTTTTCATTTCTCTCTATTTAATTCTCCAAAAATGTTAGAGGAAAACGAGCTTTGTTCTATACTGATCATTTATAATAACATATATCATATAGTTCACGTGAAACAAGACTCTCAGAAAGAAGAATTCAATGATTGGCCTCATGGGTTGCTGGCAATAGGAACGTTTGGAAACAATGATATACCAACTGAAAATGAAGAAATCGAAGATAATAAAGAAGTTACAGCATCATCCTCTCCAGATCTATCTGACTTCACACCTGAAGAAATCGGAAAACTACAGAAGGAGTTAACAAAGCTTTTGTCCAAGAAACCTGCTGCTAATAAACAAGGAGAAATCAGTGCTGATCTTCCATTGGATAGATTTCTTAATTGTCCATCAAGCTTAGAGGTTGATCGTAGGCTTTCAACCACAGTTATCACTAATCAAGATGATAAAGAGGAAGATATTGATCGCACAATTAGAGTAATTCTTGGTAGGTGCAAAGATATTTGCATGGAAAACAGTAAGAAGGCAATCGGGAAAAACAAAAATCAATTTCTTTCTTCTTGAAGAAAATGTTTGTATGCAGCAGCGGTTTGCCACCAATGCCTAGCTTGCAAGATCGACTTCCAGAATCAAGAATGGAGAGGGTAAACTTCATTATTTTTCCTCATCCTTTTCCAAACATAAGTTTATATGTATTGATGAATTTATTTTAAGTAAATATATCGTTAAACTGCAGTTATTAAGGGCAATGCTTAAAAATAAGATCAATCCTCAGAACTCTTCTCGAGCATCATCCACAAGGAAACTTATCGAAAACAGACAATCACCCAGGAAGGGGAAAGGAAAAGCAATAGAAAAACAGGAGGAGGACGCAAATGATGGCTCTAAATGGGTGAAAACTGATTCCGAATGTAAGTTGAATGAAGTTCTTTCGTAGCTTAATTTCCTCCAAAGTATTACCAAAATAAAAGTGTATTAAATATTGATAATTCCACTTTCTTATTCAGATATTGTGTTAGAGATATGAACATGAACACCATCATTACTGGATATCTGCTGAATCATATATTATTTAACACTTTGTATAAGAGTGATTGGGCTCTTGCCCAGTAGTTGCCATCTGATCAGGAGCAAAGGATAGGGGGACATATACTTGAAGCCTTCTATTTTTTGTGCTTGGAATCATGTCTATGGGTTCAATACTTTGTTATGTTATATTGTGGAGCCTTCTTGAAGTTCATATATGCTATCTTATGAATTCAAAGGCTAGACATTGATATTTATATTTCTCATTAGTGCATGGTAAACTCTTTAGACATATTTTCCGAATGGAAAAACTATTGATTGAATGAAAATGATCAGGTTAATTTATTAACGTCAGAGTTAAGGGCTTTCTTTTGAAATTGATTGTTTGATTATGGCAATTTGATGTCATAATAATTAGTTTTTTATATTTGAAAACGAATTTGGATTATACGTGTTTATTTTGGAAACAATATTTGTATAAATTTGGATTATACTAGAATAAAATTACGTATTTGCCTTTGCTACCTAATTTTTTTTTAAAAAAAAATCCCCATTCTTAAAATAATGTCGTTTGTGATCATTTTATATATGAAGTTGCTATTTTTTCATTTTTTGGGGGTTTGATAAGGTTCAAAGTCACATAAAAAAAAATACTATAGAAGCGTAAAAAGAAAATAACTAACCCATGTTATGATCAATATATAGGCATAGGTTAAATACAAAGTAAACAACCAATGATGTCCATTGTAACTTGTAAGTTTGTAAGCATAAAAATAATAGTTTTGCATAGTTTTATCTCTAGACAAGGCGGGCCGGGTCAAGCCCATGCACATATGAAACAATAATGTCACCTAGCAAACATGTTTGGTCGGGTATGTTTTATCATACATACAAGTATACAACACATATATTGCTAAGGAACGAACATCGAAGGAGCATGCGGATTTTCAATTTTAACATCTATAAGTTTTATTTTTCTACACTGCATATCAAAGTGTCATTCACAAAATCGTTACTCATTTTATTACCCAAGTTAGTTTTCAAGAGTTTCATTATACAAAAACATCATCCAACCGTCGTTGTAACGAACAGGACCAAAGTAAGGTTTAATAACTTAATAGAGCAAAGGAAAAGAACGATGTTTTCCTGTTTCCACCATCAAACCAGAAAGGTTTACAATTCCTTTAAGTTACCACATTTGTCATTATGTATTAAAGAGTAATAATCGATATCAAGTTAACCAATAAGATGTATCCGTTCCAAATCATTAAAATCATTTTGGTGCATCTCACTTAAGTTAATCAGCTTTTATCTATCAAACCTATAAAATGAATCAAAATACTCAAAATTGCTATGTGTCGTAGCAATATAGTGCTTACTTCTCTAAACCGATCTCTAAGTTGTTGAACATGCCATCCAAAACTATATGAAAAATCACAAGTTCAAAGTGATGTTGCTTAGTAATCTTGGTGTTATGGGTTCGAAGCAAGATCATTCAAATCAAAACTTCTTGGAGTAGCTGATGTAGAGGTAGGTTGTGGTGTTTAAGTAATTTCATTAGAGTGATTTCTTGTGGAAAATCGATAAATCACCACTTTCATCACTACCAATATTTAATTTTCTTTTTTGAAAAAAATAGAACCCTCTAAAGATTTCAACAAATTTGTATATAAAAATATTCTAAATTCAACTTTTTACATCAAAAGCAAACATTATCTCTCTCTCTTAAACCTATTTCAAGAATAACTAATTTAAACAACTAAACCTAATGAAAAAAACATAATTGGCTAATTTCAAGTTTTCAACAAAAAAACCTAAAATGCTAAAGCCTTACTTGTTTTATTCTTGTGGCCATGAAATCGAGATTTGAAGTCGTCGTGTGAGCCTACTAAGGGTGAAATCAAGAGTCGATATAGTGAAATTGTGAAATCGAGGGGGCATGGGCGCAGTGGCGGATTTAATATAGGACACATGGTGGCCTGTGCAACCCCTGGCTTTTCCGAACACATTGTAAAATTTTCCGAAAATGTTCAAAAAAAAATTTACTACTATCGTGCAACCCCGGACTTTCCCGTCACACCCCTAGTATGAGATCCTGCGTCCGCCCCTACATGGGCGATGCCGAAGTCTTAAATTTGTCTTTTTTTTTTTTTTTGTTATGAATTGGAATGAGATGTAAAAATTGAGTTGGTACATCAATTACCAGTATATTAGAGTTAGACTAATGGGTTAACTTTGTTTAATTTAATTTTCTAAGCCTTTTGGACTTGAGGTTGCACCTATATATTAAATTTATATTTATCGGTAAGATTTAAGGTATAACTCAGGCTAAACCGTGCTAAACATTAGGTCCGTACTTGTTTAGAAGGAATGGAAATAACCGGCCAAATTTAAAATGCACAACTCAAAAGAATAATAACTATTCTTAAGGATGAAGGAATTGATCTTTAACTTTCAAAAGGTTTTTTATGTGATATTCACATAAACAACCACATAATTATTGAGAATTAAACATAATTATTGAGAACCTCAATTAAAGTAAATGTCCCAACCTTTTGCATTTACCTAATTGGAAATTAAGAAATTTATTCATTTTTAATGTATATTTGAGGATAATAATCAAAAAAAATTTAACAAAATTTACCATTTTGTCCGAAATGGATATTTTGGACCAAGAAAAAAAACTTTTTTTGACCGATACGCTAACGACATTCTGGATTCCTTACCAACATTCCGAATTCCAGACTAAAATTTGGTATTTTGAAAAAATAAATAAATAAATAACTGCAGAACTTTAAGAACAAGTCCGAAGTCCGAAGAACAAATCTAGAATTTCAAGAAAAAAAATCATTTTTTTGCTTAATTTAACAAAAATTTAAAAAAACATAGTTATATGAACTATATACAATATTAGTGGATAAAATTAGACATTATATTGAAAAACGGTGACATAAAACATTACAACATTTATCATTAGAAATCGCAAAAAACAAAACAAAAAAATTCTTTGAAAATTATTAAAAATAAGGAAATAAAGAAATAAAGAAAAAAAAATTAGAAAATGAACATGTACTGTGGAATGAGGGCATTCAGGAGAAAATGACTATTTTTCAAAAAATAAAAAATGATGTTTATTATTACTTAAAAAAAACTCATTTATAATGGTTAGATTACTCAATTCCCCTTACGCTGAATGAGCATAAAGTCCAGAATGGTCCATTTTCGATTTCACTAATATAAAACCTAGAATTTGTTCTCATTTGCAACAAGCACTTGAAAATATTTATCTTGACCCGGTCTTAAATATGAAATTTTATAAAATATGATCAAATAACAAGATAAATTATAGAGTAAAGAAAGACATGAGAATGAAGAGAACTTTTATTCCAATACTTGTGATGAACATCAACTTTCTAATGCATATGACTCATTATTTATACTAGAAAAAGAAGATGAAAGGGTATATATGTTATGAATGTTCATTATAGTGGTGCATAACTACATTCATAAAACTCATAATAATATTTGTTATGATGCTCACTAATTATGGAGAGTGATGGGGGAATATGGGGAATCCAATAGTCATTCACTAAATAATAATTCATAACACTCCCTTTGAATGACGATTGTATCATGCCTCGTTAAAACCTTAATAGGTAAACCCCAATGGAAAAACCATTTATTCAGGAAAAAGAATACATGATTAATAATAGATATTGGGAACAATTGCCTCGTTAAATACCTTGCTAAGAAAACCCAGTCGGAAAACATAGTTAAGGAAAAGAGTACAATATGTTTCCAACTCCCCCTAATAATCACATCAAGTGATTTCCTTAAAGCGACGCATGGCAATGTTTCGTACCATCTTTTTAAATTTGGATGTAGGAAGCGCTTTACTAAACAAATCGGCCAAGTTGTTACTTGATTGAATTTTCTGGATGTTGATGTTACGCTCTTTTTGAAGATCATGAGTGAAAAAAACTTTAGTGATATATGCTTGGTTCTGTCACCTTTGATAAACTTTTCCTTGAATTGGGCTATACAAGCCGCATTATCTTCATATAGTATGGTTGGAACGTCCTTGTTATAAGTTAGACCACAATTCTCATGAATGTGATGAGTTAAATTTCTTAACCAAATACATTCACGGCTTACCTCATGAATTGCTATAATCTCTGCATGGTTAGAAAAAGCAACAACTAAAGTTTGTTTAACAGAACACCAAGAAATTGCGGTACCTCCACAAGTAGATAAATAACCTGTTTCAGATCGAGCTTTGTGTGGATCAGACAAATATCTAGCATCTGCATAACCAATTAACTCCTCATTTGATAAATTTGAATAGTATAAGCCCATATCCATTGTACCTCGAAGATATCGAAGAATATGTTTGACTCCATTCCAATGTATTTTTGTTGGGCAAGAACTATATCGTGCTAATAACTTTACAGCAAAAGATATATCAGGTTTCATATTATTAGCAAGATACATTAGTGGAGCAATAGCACTAAGATATGGTACTTCAGGACCAAGTAGTTTTTCACAAGGCCGAAATTGGTCCTTTTAGCATCTAAGTGCCTTACTACCATCAGGTTACTCAATGGATGTGAGTTATCCATATAAAACATTTTAAGTACCTTTTCTAGATAACTGGATTGATGTACAAAAACTCCATTTGTGGTGTGCTCAATTTGAAGACCCAAACAAAATTTCGTTTTACTAAGATCTTTCATTTCAAAATTTTCTTTTAAACAAGAAGTGGCATTTTCCAATTCTCTAGGAGTTCCAATTATGTTCAAATCATCTACGTAAAAAAAATTGTCACAAATTCTGATATGGATCTTTTTATGAATACACATGGGCTTAATTGATCATTTTTATAGCCCTTCTTCAACAGAAATGTACTTAAAGAATTGAACCACATACGGACAGATTGTTTCAATCCATACAAATATTTATTTAATTTTACCGAATATACTTCTCGAGAATTAGGAGTTTGTG